GGGTAAGAATTTCCACTTAAATTTTTTAAATATTTTTTTGTTCTTTTTTATTTCTTTTTTTTCTCAAGTTTGGAAATTGTTCATGTTTAAGTTGTTTGATTGAGGGTTTTTTTTTAAAATAAGGGGCAGATATAAGATTTTTCTTCCTTCTATCTACACCCTTTTTATTCAATAATTGATTTACTTTTTAATGGACTTTTTTGTTATTTTTTATGACTGAAACAGATTTAGGCAAAATACAACAAAATAAGACAAAAATCCAAAATTCTTAAAGCCTAAACCTAAATATTAAGATTTTAAACAGACCTAAAAAAACATAATTTTTTTGTTGTCCACAACTATGAACTCTTAGCTATAAATAATGTAGTTTACCATACATTTTATATCATAATAATGCCATTATTATTAGGCTTTTTATGAAAATAAAAACATGAAGTAGAGAATTACTCATCAAAAAAATAATTATTTTACCAGACATGTAGTAATTCATTTGAAATCAGGTCACGTTCATAACTTTAAATTAGTATTTATTTTGCACACAGTTTTGTCCTTTTGGACCCGCATGTGGGTGTGTGTTTGTTCTAACCTTCATCACCAGATGGGTTGAAGCTGGGAAGGGGGAGGACGTTCAGTGCTTCCAGCCCCTTCACCTGGCCATAAAAGCAGCCTCAGATTTCACTGCACTCACACTTCACTGACTCTGGACACACACAAATACACACACACACACACACACACACACACTCATTCCTAAAAACATTCAGGCTTGTTTTAGCTGAGTCTGCCAGGATGCCGAGTATCAGCTGTCATTTGGACCAGATGGTGAAGATGCCTGGTAGCTTCAATGATGTGGTTGAAAAACTCTTCATGGTGAGTTCTTTTAGATCTTCTCTCAGGAGAAGAGATGGTATTTTTCTTCACTTTATATTACATTATAAGGAAGTTTTTTTTTTTTAAATTTGCTTAAAACTGTTTATTTTTACTGTAAAATACATAAGAGGGAAAGTTTGCTTGTGCGCTGCTCCTGACCTGTTCCCTCCTCTGCTTGCAGGTGGAGCAGATCCTGTCAGAGTTCAGGCTGAATGAAGAAGAGCTCGAAGAAGTCATGAGGAGGATGCAGCATGAAATGAGCAGAGGGCTGCGTTTAGAGACGCACGAAGAGGCCAGCATCAAAATGCTCCCGACGTATGTCTGCTCCACCCCTGAGGGCTCAGGTAGGGGAAAAAATAATAATCCTGGAAAAGTAGATAACACTTCCTGTACATTAAAAAAATAATTAATGATGTGTTCTGTTTTGTTGTGACAGAGGTGGGGGATTTCTTGGCTCTGGACCTCGGGGGGACAAACTTCCGTGTGATGCTTGTAAAAGTGGGTGAAGATGAGGAAGGGATCTTCAAGGTGGAAACTAAACAMCAGATGTACTCTATTCCTGAGGACGCCATGACGGGGACTGCTAAAATGGTGAGTAAACACAGAAAATTGTTTTTTTTTTTTTCAATCTCCATATTATCAGCATCAATATTTACTGTTATTGTGCAGTAAGTGATTTGAAATGAGTAAAAAAAAGGCTTATTCTTGTATTTCTGTCTCTCAGCTCTTTGATTACATAGCAGAGTGCATGTCTGATTTTTTGGACAAACACCACATCAAGCACAAGAAGCTTCCACTGGGGTTCACCTTCTCTTTTCCAGTCCGTCACGAGGACCTTGATAAGGTGAGATGGTTGACATCTGTTCCCCCTCATTATATTTTGATTCTCTTTATTATTATTTTTTTTWAATTTCTGATTGTTTTTCATTTTTATTTCTCAGGGAATCTTGATTAACTGGACCAAAGGCTTTAAAGCGTCTGGAGCAGAAGGAAACAACGTCGTGGGTCTGCTCAGAGATGCAATCAAGAGACGAGGGGTGGGTGAATATTGATTATTTTTAATACCGAACACCTGTGCAGGAGGAAACAAAAAAGTCTGATGTGTTTGTAATGTTTCGTAGGAGTTTGAGATGGACGTGGTCGCCATGGTGAATGACACAGTAGCCACCATGATTTCCTGTTACTACGAGGACCGCAGCTGTGAAGTTGGGATGATCGTCGGTAAGAAGGCGGAAACACTCGAACAATCGTGAAAAACGATGCCTCGCGGTTACTGGAGCTCGTTGCTTTGCTTTGAAATCCAGGCACGGGCTGTAACGTGTGCTACATGGAGGAGATGAGGACCGTGGAGCTGGTGGAGGGGGAGGAGGGCCGGATGTGTGTGAACACAGAGTGGGGGGCGTTTGGAGACAACGGCGAGCTGGAGGACTTCAGACTGGAGTACGACAGAGTGGTGGACGAGGCCTCGATCAACCCCGGCCGGCAGCTGTGAGTAAACACCTGTATTAAATGTAACAGCCGGTTCGGTTGTTATCAGTCCATTAAATGGACGTTATTAGCGGTTATCAGTCCCATAGAATGGCTTCAGACTGTTCCGACAGTGCCCCCTTGTGGGTTACCAGTGCCATATATGTTGGAATGCAACAATCTGCTACCACCGGATTTCAGTCTACGTTATCGTAGTCCATGTAATTTTCTCTGAAATTAACTTTAGTGTTTTTTGTTCACATGATTTTATCATGTGAACAGGGGGAATTTGAAGAAATTTATTAGTCAAGTTAGATACTGATTTTAAAAGCACTACACCATTTTCTTAGTTTTTCTTTTCAAGTATTGACTTTTATAATCCATTGTTTAACTATTGTCATGTCTTGATTAAAATAGCTTAGATACGTAAATGCCCGAAACACCGTCACAACACATAAAAAACCGTTAATCAAACTTAAGTACAGATTTTTTGTCTTGAGTGTCTGCGATTCAGCCGCAGTGGGCGTACCAGGCACTGAAAAATGTGTATATACTGTAAATATATATGTAAATGCTGGAATTTACGGCTTCTTGTCAGCGTGGGTTTCCTGCTTGCAGTGAAAGCATTAAAWCCTCGTTCAWTTCCAGTCACTGGTGTTGTATGTTCCTCGTTCCTTTCACATTTCAATTTATTCAACATTTATGTGTTTTCATCTCAACTTCAGTTAATGAACACTAAAATTTTCTTACATTTTTATGCTTCATATTAACCAGATTGCATAAAAAACCTTTGTGGTTTTATGCCTCATACTAACCAGCTGACAGTCTGAAGCCATTCTATGGGACTGATAACCTGCTAGGGGGCATAGTTGGGACAGTCTGAAGCCATTCTATGGGACTGATAACGACCAATAACGTCCATTTAATGGATGATAACATCCGAAGCGGGTGAATGTCAACATTCAACACGGGCAGAGCTTCATCTTCTGGGTCCCCCTCTCTCCCTCCCCCAACACTCATATGCTGTTTTTCATGAATTACCGGTAACCACCCCGCAGTCTCTGGCAGTTCTCACCCGACCAAACACGATCTGTTAAGTTGCCAAGCTACCAGCTGTTTTCCTCAGGATGTTAGCAAATGAACAGAGAGCCCTCATACGTCAGTGGTCAGTCGGCAGGTGTAGATGCCAGATTAATGATCCCTCTCTGCCGCTCTGCCTTCGAGCTTAATGGCTGTTTACCTTTTTTACACCGGCAGCCCATTCACAYAGGCAGCTGCCGTCACTTCAGGCTTGATGTCTTCCTTGTCCGGTCCACGTTGACTCAGTTTTGTCACTTGCTCCTTTCCTAAACCCACTCCTCTCTTTCTGCTCTCCTGTAGATACGAGAAACTGATCAGYGGGAAGTACATGGGGGAGCTGGTGAGGCTCGTCCTGATGAAGCTGGTGAATGAAAACCTGCTGTTCAACGGTGAAGCCTCGGAGCTGCTGAAGACCCGCGGCAGCTTCGAAACACGCTTCGTCTCGCAGGCGGAAAGGTAAGCAGCAGCGGGTTTACGATGKGAGCATATCCTGATGATATCAATCATAAAATTCAGTCGACCACGATGATAAGACATAAGCAACATGTTATTTTATTGATAATGATGTATGACAGTGTTGTATAAAGTACCACAAAGTGAAACTTGAGTAAAAGTACAAGTACCTTACCAAAAAATTACTTTGGTAAAAGTTAAAGTCTCCTTTAGTAATATTACTTGAGTAAAAGTACAAGTATCTATTATTTTTGTACTTAAGTATTAAAAGTAAAAGTATTGATTTAAAATGAGCAGTTAGATTTTCTGTAAGGACATTTATTAGGAGGTGACCTCCCTAACAAACTGCAGAAATGACTGTTGTATTAAAATAATTAATTTATGTTAAATTTAGGATGCACTAGTCCAGCTGTTTCAGTTTATATACATAC